TAAAATGACATTTTAAACATAAGTAAAGTGTCCTTCACAACAACCTATTTATATAGTTCAGATAATTAACATAAAACATGAATAAAAGCTACAGCACTTAGAAAACAGCATTTTCACCTGTCCCAGCCAACCATGACAACACTTTATCTTAAAACATAATCAATAAGATATTTTGAAATCATGTTATTTTTACATATTATGTGAATCCATTTAATATCTTATGTTTAAACAGATTCTTAAAACTCAACGGTAACAGCGCTACGCCACACAAAATGTGCAGCGCAGTAAATAAGAAGTACAATAAGGACACCGTGGTGGTTATTAGTGCACAGGTGTCTTTTTAACGATGCTGTATTTTCACCTCTGTTTTAGGCAAGAGCTAATCAATGCAACATGTAAAATAGGTCATACACATTAAAGAGCCACACCAATATGATGAAAGAAACAAAAACAAAGTAACAAAAAAAACAACATTCTCAGAAACATCTGCGAATTTAAGGGAAGAAGTATCTTATGTTTAAACAGATTCTTAAAACTCAATGGTAACAGCACTATGCCACACAAAATGTGCAGCACAGTAAATAAGAAGTACAATAAGGACACCGTGGCGGTTATTAGTACACAGGTGTCTTTTTAACGATGCTGTATTTTCACCTCTGTTTTAGGCAAGAGCTAATCAATGCAACATGTAAAATAGGTCATACACATTAAAGACCCACACCAATATGATGAAAGAAACAAAAACAAAGTAACAAAAAAAACAACATTCTCAGAAACACCTGTGAATTTAAGGGAAGAAGTGCTGGTAATTAATAGTAAATTGTTTGGTAAAGATAGTTGTAATGTTTAGTCAAGAAAAAAATATAAACAAAAAATTACATATATGTAAATCACATTATAACATCTTAAAATTAAACTTTTAACTGTCGGAATTGTGTTTTAGCATGTATCATATCATTTCTTAAAGGCCTTTTTCCAATTCATTATTATTGTAGTAACAATGTTTATTAACATTAAAGTTTAACATGGGGTTACTTTTTCCACACAAAAATGAAACTGACATGCTTATTAATGCAGCAATCCAGTTTAGCTCAATTTCTTGATGTTAGGAATTCAGTATACACATGTAAACATTACATTTCAACTAGTAAACATTTAAATCTTGATATCAGGAATTCAGTTTGCACATGTGAGAATTAAAAGTCCACTAGGAAATGTAAAATTTTGACCAGTAACTACTCAATTAAGAAATTAATTTTTACTAGTAAAAATGTACTTTTCACATGTCACGCATCCCTCTGGCTCAGAGGTCTCCATGGACTCCATCTCCCAGAGGATTCACATGACTCCTGATCCTCCATCACGCACCAATCACCGATCTCTCTCTCCTGAGTTCTAATCTGTATCACCTGTTCACCTCACATTGGTGTTAGTTTAAAGCCTGGGCTTTTAGGTTAGTTCATTGTGAGGTATTGCTTCTTCCTAGAGCTGCTGAGTATTCATTCCTGTTGTGTATTTTCTAGTTCTGACTGATTTTCTGTTGTCTGACCCCCTTTGGACTGTCATATTTCTCTTCACTGATTTGGATTTGAAGCTAAACCTACTTTCTGTACACAGGATGGGATATTTGCAAAACGCTGAATTTGACACAGAAGGAATAGGCGGTTTTAAGTGTAGTGCCATTTAAATCTACCAATCGGATATGCTGCTCAAGGAGGTCTTCTACTCCCACAACAGCAGTTAGAAGGTTGATCGGGAAAATTACCAGTAAAACGGTGAAACTGTTATTGTGGTAAAACTTGCTAGGAATTCTTATTTATGAATGAGCAAACATTTTACCACAACGGTATTTGCTTTTAAATCTGCCGCTGCATTTTTTGGTCCACTGAGCCAATCTGGTCCACTGAGTCATCCATTAAAGGTTATCAAAAAAGATACATTTTTGTGTTGTTCCAATACCTGAACTCAGTCACTACTATGAAATATCAACAAGAAGATGCATTGTCTAGATTTCCTCATGGTAAAGGGAAAAAGAAAAGTCTGTACTCTGCATTCTAATTTTTTATTTTTATATTTATATTTCTGACTGATGAGGTCACATTGTTACCCAGATTATAGATTGATAATAAATAATTAATTGTTAGGATTTACTGCTTGATGCTGCATCACATCGAGCAATCATCCTGCCCCACTCAGATAACCATGCCCTTCACCCAGCCTTCACACTTTAAACATTACTACTACATATTTACAGAGAGACCTCTGATGAACAAGGCTGCTTAAAACAGTGAAAGAATGTCACATATTGCTATGACTATTGTGTTAGTAATTGATTCAGCTGATGTTAACAGGCTTTCTGTGGGATAATTGGACCATATTCTGTGCTCACTAGAGTAAGATGAACAGATAGCTAATAGCTAATCTAAGAAGTTCCTTTAATATGATGTATTGTAGTGAGCGGTATGGCCAAAAAAATTCTCATGGCATAATAAATGTTGTTTCATGTCTTAATTTCTACAGGGCTGAAGTTGGTTTCTTATTCGGCATCTTTTTGTTTGAATTTTTCATTCCAGTTTAAAGTGCGGTGTATAAGATTTAAGGGGGATTTATTAGCAGAAATGGAATATTGTAAACAAAATCATGTTTTCATTAGTGTATAATCACCTGTAACTACAAATTGTTTCTGTTATCTTAGAATGAGCCCTTCATATCTACATAGGGAGCAAGTGCTCTTCCACCAGAGGCCACTGTGTTGCACTGCCATGTTTCTGCTGTAGCCCAGAACGGACAAACCAAACAGTGGCTCTAGAGAGTGCCTTTCACGTTTTTATGTTGAAGCAGCAACTTGAATTTGGTCAGTTGGAAGACGTAGAAAGAAGAAGAATCAGTGGTTGCTGCCAGTGCTGGCAACCATTTTGTGTTGTGAGAAGTTTGAGAACCCAAATTTTGACAAATGGAAGATCATATTTATTACTTAGCACAAGAAAAACAAAAGAGGGTGAATCCTCATCACCAAAAAGAAGCAAAAACATGAAGATTCAAAACGAAATTGGGGCAGGCGATGGCAGAAAACCTGAAGGCCACCATAGGTTCTACTAAATGCTTGGAAAGGAAGGGGTGAGGGAGATGTATTCAGTTGGATGCAATCTGCAACCTCACGACTAGATGCCACTTAATTTTACACACCGGACCTTTAAATGTAGGAGCAGTTACATTATATACATCATACCTGCATACCATACATTTGTGCCTCTGACCGTCAGACACTGCTGGAAAAGATTAGAAAATATTTGTCATTTATGCTTCAGTTCCAGCTGGTTAATATAATAATTAATAATAATACTAATAATAACAATAATATGTCTTTATTTGTAGAGCACTTTCCATACCAAATACTTAACAAACAGGTGATAAAGCTCAACAATAACAGAAGAAACTATGAGTATTTATTTAAAATCGTATAAGACAACAACAAAGATCAAATGAAAAAGATATATTAACCACTGTTAGCTTGATGGTAACATAACATTAAAATCCCTATAACCAGGCTACCAGAAAATAACATTATCTTAGTGGTAGCAAAATTGTGAAGACGAAAGCTACATACAAAATGAAATTCTTGCATGAAACTGAATGAATCTGTACAGTGACTGTCTGACCGGCACATGGTCACAATTTAGTGACTGTATCTGGCTCTCAGTGTAAACAAGCTTAAAAGGTTGAAAATGCATAGTCTCTTTATACTGTGCTCTGCTGCAGCTATGGTTAAGCTCTCCAGTATGGTACAGTGACCACACTCCTTACCCCACCACTTTTACCCTGACAGCCAGTGAGAGCAGTTGGTATTAGCATACAGAATGAACAGCCAGAAAATGAGCTTTTGTCCACAGAGGAATTGATGGCAGCGGTGAAACACATCATATAGCGACTGAATCAAGGTGTTATTTGTTTTGTACTCCTTACAGTCTATGGATGAGCAGAGTGAACTATATTTAATTGAATAGAAGAGCGAAATATGATTCCTGGAAGTAAATCATTAGAAGGTCCTTAATATCCTTGTGCCATTAGTGTGGATGTTGGTAAAGCACATTTTGTGTGTTTGCTAATTCTATGCTTAAAAACTCAACCCTGTTACTCATTTAAGCTGTTTAAGCCCATTTAAGCTTTAAGATATTGTTCGTTGAGATGTGTTTTTATTAGATTCAGTGTAGAAATGATAATCAAGTTTAATCTTTGAGTTACGAAGGCTACGAGACACCCTAAATGTGGAAACGTGGGCATGAGAACTGAAATGAGAACTTTCTTTGGCAGAAAAAGGTTATACATTACACATCACATCTGGAAAACATATATCATCTAGAATCTCAGGTTTCCCACTAAGATAAAATATCGTCAGCTGTTAGAGTGCAGTTTCTCAGTTGGAAATTTTCTCACTTGGGAAAATTCATCAGATAATTCACAATTTTAAAAAAAAAGTTTTTTTATGCATTCTGTATTACAGGCTCATTAGAAACAGGTAATTTGTTTAAAACTGAAATCACAATGACAAAATTCTATAACCTTTAAAACCCTTGGTTGCCCAAACATTAAAAAAAAATATTTTTTATGTCAGTCGCATTCTGAAAGTCAGTGTTTGGAGTTTTGAGGGTTAAGTATAGGATATGACAGAAAACACTTACTGGCAAGCTTTTCGTGTTGCAGGTTAATTTGCCACATATGGAGCAAATTCTTTCTTCTGTCTTTCTCTTTCTCTCTCTCTCTCTCTCTCTTTTCTTGTATGTGTGTGTGTGAAATTTATTATATAGAATAGCATACAATTGCTCCTGGTTAGGTAAATCATCAGTAACTGCAGTGGAAGACTCAGGCAGTGTTAGCTATGGTATTATTTTTAGCAACACAGACATTAACATTTATGGAAACTGGAACAGAGGACATTATGTTCCATTGTAGGTTTAGAAAGATTTACTAGGATTTAGAAAAACAGTGCTAAAAATCATCACCTGTCTAAATCCAGAGTTGTTCTTGGAACATGAGCTTGAAGTTTCTGTTGTGAAAAAAACAAATGAAATTAAAATAAACAAAGTTGGTTAACCAAAGTGATGTTCAGTGATGAACACACCGTTAATCTAAAACTTGATTGGTGTATATCTGGGAAACCAGCTCTTAGTATTTAAAAATAAATAAATAAATAGGTTAAATTGTTATGAGCCCAAAGATGCATTTTAAATGTGTATATAGCACAAACAGAGTTGAAGCAAATTAGATGTTTTGATCAGATCTGGGCTGGGTTTCCTGAAAGCATCATAGCACAAAAACTACTCTTAAATGAATACCAGATACCAGTTATCTACCAGTTAAGATGATCTTAAGTCTAAGATTAGTTTTGCACCTCTGGTTTAAGTTCCACAGTGTCAACAGTGTTTTTCTTGTTGTTGATGTTGTGTTTTGTTTTCCCGCTGTTTTCCTCTTAGGATGTTTGTTTTTAAGTATGTATTTGATTGTCCCTAGTTTGGTGGTTGTACTTCTTCCTGTCAGAGTGGAACTGCTGCTAACAACATAGCTAAACCTGTTCCTGAAGATGTTCTGCACTAGAGGTCTGCATAGACTGTTTTTTCAGTCCCGTTCCCGTGAGATTTCATCGTGCTCCCGCAGAAAATCGGAATAATTTCTCCCGCCCGCAACCAAAACAATTTGTCCCGCTCCTGCCCCCACACATCCAAAATCTGACACAGTCTATTTGCAAATACATTATTCTCTGCTGAAATAACACGGCAGTCATGGACATCAGAACGCGCCGGACTTTCATACATACAGCGTTTGTGCTGCGGAGCAGAGCAGCAAGACAGTTATACAGACATTCCCGTTTTTAGGTGGATAAATGGTGATACCAGTCACTCTGCTCAACAAAAATATGATTTATAAATGTACAAGGTATATTTGTTTTTCCTGGACAGCGTTCTGGCTTCTGATTAAGCAAAAGTTTTAAGCCTGTAGACCAGCTGGGAAATCTGTCTGCAGCATACAGAATGTTTAACTAGTATTTTTTAATGAATTACATAAAAATCATCTTTTTCTCCAAGCTAAAGTTTAAGGTTTTTGTTGATTAAGGATGCATCAATTGAGGTTAATTAATGCATTTATTGGGGTAAGCTGAAGTTGGTTTTATATTCGCCAACTTCTTTTTCGAAATTCTTTGTATGTTAAGACACCTCAATGTAACTGCAGCATCATATATATATATATATATATATATATATAGTTTATTATTTAAGAGCCTTGGCAGTTTTAGTAGCCACTTTTGTTAGGTTTTGTAAAATCTTATGCATTGAAATTATCAGAATTTGACAGGTGTTCAAATTAAACAGTTTTTTTGTGGTCACTCTAGTCTATTTTACTTGGTCTGTCCACCTGCAGGGTTGTAGCTGTAGCAGTGGTGACAAGTTCTATCAGATGATAGTTAGCTTGCCTGCCAAGATGGCAACGGGGCTTTCTTAATGACATAATCGAATACTATGAAAAACTTTGGTTCGTCGTTTCAAAAAAGAATATTTTCCAATTACTCCCTCACTTTCCACAAAGAGAAACAGTTGACAAAGAAGACCTACCTTTCTGTCCTTGAGGCAGTAAACCATGAGAATGAGGAAAAGCCCCCCACTCACTATGGATAACACTATGAAGCCCAGTCTGTAGAAGCCCTCTTCAGAGGAGCCCTGGTGAATCTGTCCCAGCAGTCCTAGAGCAGCCTCTGGATGGAACACACTTTAATCAGTAATCATGAAATTTCTGCTTATCTTGTCTGTCTGAGGACCTGAGTGTACCTGTGCTGGTGGGCAGCTCTGTAATGGTCACAGCTGTATAACTGCTGTATTCTGTTTCGCAGCTCCAGTCCACAAACGTGTGCGTGTGTGTGATGAGCTGTTGGTAGAGAGCGAGCACCTCTTCAGCTCTTTGCAGGGCTCGCACAGGAGAATCAGTAAACTGTTTCTCAAATCCTGCTGGGTCCTCCTAAAGAAAGAGGGATATTCAGATGTTTTTCATTGCACACCAAGGTTCAGAAACCAGCATTCTTGCATGTTCTAACGAACTAAAACAGATAAATCACAACAGGGTTTGGTTTAAACAAATCAAAACTGTAAACACTCTCCAAATGTCATATGGGCTGCAAATTAACAACAGGTCCCAGAATATAGACAGCTAGATAGTGTGTTAAAGACAGTGTTCCATATTAATTCCATGTTCTGATCATTCTTCATCTTGCATGTAGTTTTTGGTAGCCTTTCAACTATTGGTTGGTGGGGCTATGAATCAGAGACTGCAGAAATACAACATGTATTTGGAGTCTGGCTTGTGAATGAGCCATTGTTTATGTTTATACCTAGCAAAAAAAGCATGTGTAGCACAGAACATTTAATTACTTTTTCACTTTAATAATGGCCATAAATCATGTAATTTATGAAATGAAATTCATAGTGTCTTGTCCACATGTTCAAGATGTAAAATGAATATCACATGAATGAATCATACGGAGTGGACATGGAGCGGGTTTTCTCTGATGTGTGAGCAGGAAATAGAAAACCCGGAGTGGAGCTAGAGCGGAATGATTACACAGCGCTTTAAGTGTGGAGCTCTCACATAATCTGCAATCCAGTCGTTCTCATAAACTATGTTGACTTTCTTTCATGTGAATGAAATTATGTAACGTGAATGTAAAATAACTTAGCTGACACACATGCACACACCTCGAGCTCCTCGTTGAGAGCAGGCACACAGTGCTGTGAGTAGATGTTGAGGATAAGTTTCTGTAGGGAGAGGACTGAGAGAGCACTGTCTGAGCCTCGTGGATATTTGAAGTGAGCGCTCAGCAAGTCCAACACACGTGGTAATGCTGCCTTCACATAACACACTGCACTCTGAAAGAGAGACAGATGCAAGCAGACAAACAAGTTATCTTGATTCTCGGTAGCATGGTCATTAAATAATGGTAGAGCCAGTTTTAGCCTGCTAACAGCATTTTACTCTAAACTGGCACTCTAGTCCTAGAGAGCTGCAACATTATCACAGTAGTTATCGGTATTTTTACAGAGAGTTGGTCCGTGTGAACAAGCAGCAGGCTAATCAGTATTGATACATCTGTGTATGCTTAATGGCAGCCTGTAGTTCCAAAATATACTTTGGTACTGAGAGAACTCATCTCGTGAACACATGAGTAAAACACAACTCAACTCTCATTCATAAGGCAATTTTTTTTTTAAAAACGTCTTCAGGCCAAACGGCTTCAGGGACGAAGGCAAAGGGCTAAGCTAAGCGGCCAAAAACTCTCAGATGGGAAAGTTTTTTTGACTTACACAGTTCTTTTCTTTTTTAATAGAATAATTACAGTTTTGTGGCCAAAACAAAGATTACAGTATACTAGAAACACAACTTTTACTGAACTGCGCTTTATGTTCTTTTATTTTAGAAAGATTAAGACTCAACTCATATGGGATCATCGTGTTTTTTCCCCAAAAGTACACACTCCCACTTTCTGTTTGGGATTTCACTGCAATAAACAGATCTGCTGTTTGTACTGTCATATTGTAAGCTGGCTGTAAGACAAATTAGAGACAAACAGAGAAAAAAGAGCTAGTAACCAAAAAAAAGTCACCATGACATGACAGAGCTCAGTGAGTCGGAGGCAGGATGGATTGGACACCCAGTTGAGTAGTAACTCAAGTATGCAAGTTGAGTTAGTACAGCAGGACTCATGAATTTGTAATGCACTGTCCAGGTGTTGTCACTGGTATTTGCATACTTGCATTTTAGTACTTTCCTTACACTAATACACCCACTTCAACTCAGTAAGGAGTTGGTAGTGACCTGATTAGGTGTGTTTGGAGCAAGGAAAACACTACAATATGCAGTGCAGTGTGCCTCTCACTTTTTTTTGTCCCAGGAGCAGGAATAGGAACTTCTGATCTTTGCTTTTACAGCTCATTTGACCTTAGAGAATATAAACAAAAAAGAAACCTACTTGGGGTAACAGTGGGCCACATGGGTAAGAGGGTCAAATACATTATTCTTCTTTCACAACAAGCCCTAATACACTGAACAGTGAAAAACTGCGCAACAGATCATTTTGTTCATATGTTCTTTAATATGAAACATGAAAGGTATGGCCCATGATGCTGAGCCACTTATATTTTAGTTACTATTTCAGAACAACCAAGTAGGGGTGGGCAATGACGATATTTTATTGTTACCATGACAAATTGTCACAATATGCATTTCTGGGCATATTGTGGATATCATCAGTACCTAAAGAATACTGAGTAATTCCATGTTTCATTACAAAGTGAGCATAATTAGGCCTGTTTAATTGTATTTAGTGCAGTGCAGTTTGTGATACATTAAATAAAAATCACTGTAGCTATTTAGATGGTTTATTATTATTTTAATAGTTTTTTTCAAAGTGTAGCACTACAGGTTCTATTTTGTCTGTTCCAACTTGTTAAATCCCTGAAAAGCAAAATATCATGATGCATATTGTGTATCCTGCAAATGTCGTGGATTATCGTGATATAACATTTTTGCCATATTGCCCACCCCTACAACCAGTTTTAGGAAGCAGTCTTACCAGATTTTTCCTCTCTGTGAATCTGTAGGTTATTGAACATCCATTCCGCAGCTGGTTATTGATCTGAGAAACAATGCACAATACAGTTAGAATCATCGGTGTGGAACATTAATTTCTGTTGACTGTGAGCTATAAATGCAAAAAAAAAAAAGAATAGATACATTTTATTGGAACTGTGCATGGTCTAGCATGTTGGTAATACTCTGATGAGAGCATGCAGAAAACTATGGATATTTGATGTTCAATGCATATCATGAACATGTAATAATCATAGTGCAAAGGGGCAAAATAGACAGTAATTAAAATGTTAAACCTTGCTATGTGCTTATAACTGGGGTGGAGTTTACTGTTTATCCTGATACAACTCATCAACACTTAACTTTATGAAGTATTAAGTAATATCGCTATTGTCTTTAAGCAATGGACAATGCCTTTTTTTTCTACAGTAGACCAGACTCTTTGCCAGTACCTTCATGAGCTGAATCTTGTTTGTCACACAGGAAAAAGCAAGAAAAGCAAAACAGCGTCAGTAAGAAAAACCCAAGGGTCATCTGTGTAATTGTGTTCATAGAAACACATAAAGCAAAAGCTGACATTTGATAACTATATGCATGTATTAATGCAGCGTTGTGTTGCAGAAATATACTGATATCTGGGTGTTCTCTCACCAAATGTTTTATTTGAAGCAGGTGATCTTTGGTTATGGAGTGCCTACAGGGTCCAGGGATGTCCATCATTGAGAGGGGAAGATACAGGAGTACAAAAACGCACACGCTCTTCACCTAGAGATATTTATAAAACAAAAGTTGAAAATTGAAAATTAGTTGAAAATTACCCAAATTGGCTAAACTGGCACTTTTACAGAAATGGTTATTAATATCACAAGTGGCCAGCGTAGGGTTCTCCTTTTCAGCTGTAGCCAGTCAGCAGCCTGTCCATGTTGTCCACCCTCACACACACACACACACACAGACACACACACACTAACAGCAGGCCATGTAGGAGGAGAGCAGAGTGAAGAGACACAGAACCTCCACACTTTTATTCCCCACAGATTCACCCGAACAGCACATATAATATAAACGTGTGGGGGGTGAACAGTGTGAAGTCACTGAAAATGTGTTATTTTATATGTTCTTCACAGAAAATGAGCAAAGCTCAAGGAATCTGGGGTTGAAATAATAGTTAATCGCATCATTTTTTCTTCTGTTAAACATTGAAAATAGGTTCCACAGACCCGAACACACAAGGGTTAATATGTGAAAAAGATTAGCACCACCTTCTACGTGGCCACTGAAGCTAAAAGAGCAGAAATTGATCATAAATCACATACCTGGGAGTGCTTTTAATTTATTGAGCCATAAGAAAAATTCTCAATGCAAAATTTATGGAAAAAGCTGGTAGACTGGTATGTTATGGAGGCAAGGCAAGTTTGATGAATCATCTCAAATATGTAAATATAGCGATCTTTAAGCAAGTGCCACTTGGTGGGCTACATGTTTTTCCTCGAATTCACACAATATATCAGCATGATGTGTCAAATGTAATGTAAGATAAGAAACATAATGTCAGTGCATGAATACCAGTGACAGTGGATGGCCAGTGCACTGCAAATGCATGGGTGCTGCTATACTAAGTCAACTTGCATACTTAAGCTACTACTCAACTCCCATTAATACTGCTCTGACTCACTGAGCTTAGTCATATAACTATTTCAGATGGGAATCTTTTTTTTTCCTTTGTCTCTAATTACACAGATTTACCGAAGGCTTAAAACTTGACAGCACAGATAGCAGATTTGTTTATTGCAGTGAAATCACAATCAGAAAGTGGGAGAGTTTGATCTCTTTGGATTTTATGCTTCATAAAAAATAGACTTGTGCACAGGAGCGTAGCCTGGGGATAAGTTAAACGAGACAGTCAGCTGTCATTTATGGAGTGGTCAGCAGAGAAAAGTTCTGCTAATGTGTGAACAGTTAGGTTTTGCAGTGAAATTCTACCAGCAGGCCAGATACCAATTACTTATAATTTGATGTTGATCATAATAATCAGTGTATCTCTTTGCTATAGGCTTCTCTCCTCCATAGACCCATGAACACTCAACAAACCATTTGCATGCTTAAAGGGTTCTTTTGCTTGGTGAAATGTTTTTTTCATACTGATGAAGAATATGTTGTATATGGTTTTATTTTTTTCTTTTAAAGGGGTCTATATACCACCAAAAGGGTTCTTCTATTCTTGCAATCTTGACATCGTAACAAAAGCAGAAGGCTTTTTGATGTTATACCAAACCCTTTTCAAAAATGTTCTATATAGAACCATATACAACACATTCTCAATCAGTCTGTGTTCCGCAAAAGCATTATTGAGCAAGCACTGTGGTAACCATGGAGAGCGTATTCAAAATGATAGTCTCTCTATCATTTAACTATATAATAGTTGTTCAATGACACTTTTGGGCATGCACCCCTGAAGAACCATTTCACGATGCGAAGAACTCTTTAAGCATGCAAATTGTTCTTTAAGTGTTCATGGGTCTATATAGAACTATTGTATTGAAGAATAATCTTTTTTAAGAGTGTACGTCAATATAATTACTTTTTTTCTTGCACATTGTGCTCTCTGTGGCTCACATTACTATAATAGAGTATTTTAACAACACTTAGCAGAGAGCAGAAATAGCATAGGCTAGAAAAAAATGTCACATAAAACAATGGCAAACATACCCTTTAAATTGTTTCATAGTGAAAACTGCATTTATAAAATCAGGTTTACCAGTTTACAATACTGTTATTATGTTGATTGTCATAGAATTTTGAATTATGCCTACATTAATAATTTGTCCAGTGGACTCCATACTCGGGTCTCCCTTTTTGCGGTGCTGCTTCATTAGCTACATTTAATGCAATGGACTGTGTGATAGTTAACCATTATTAGTAAGCTATGATCATTTATCACGTAAGATAATTATTTTTTACAACTGAGTGCATGTGCGTGTTTAATGATGCAGGCTCAGTTCCATTTGAGGTGAATCCAGTGCTTTAAGACGAAGTTCGTGCTAAGGTTATGGTAGATTGGCAGGTCACCCTCCTGAGATTAATTCTCTCATAACATTACACTGTGTTGTCTGCCTAACTTTATTATCATAAGACTCATGAGTTACCTGTGGGGAGGGAAGCCTAAATTACATGGTTTACTTAAAGTGTTGTGCATTGAAACAGCTGAAGTCTCTTGATTTAGATGTGTACATCATTTGCACATATCTGTGTTGATCTATTTTATTTTTGTCTTTCAGTTTTCAGTTCAGTTACCTTTGACAATAATAATAATTGTGTTATTGATGTAATATTTTATTCATGTGAAATAAGTTATGTAATAAATTAAAATTTATCCTCGTAGTTTGACACCTTGAAATCACTTAGTCAGGTCTGACCACCCCTTTGCAAAGGTTTGGCTACGCCCCGTCAACGGGAAAAAAATCATTCAGAAATATCAAAGACCAGATTTTAAAACATCCTTAAAGCAAATTGGACAGCTGTGCCTATATGTCAGCCAGGTACCTCATATGCTCTCTTAATACATTTTTTCTCTTTCTCTCTTGAATTTTTACTCGCTTTAGAAGTCGTGCTGCAGGCTAGTCATCCCAGCCTTTGTGATCTCAACCATGAACAGCAAACGGCACAGCTGGGACACAAACCTGAAGTCTGTAGGACTTGTAGTGTACCATTAGAAGATATTTATTGTATGCAGTATTTCGTATGAGTACATGACACTGCAGTGTGTTATGTTGTGCAAAGAACAACCACTTTTACCTTACATCACATTTTTTTATTTTTAATTTCAAACTCTCTGAAGCAGTTCATCATTTGCATTATTATTATAAATGTTTTGAAACTGCCAACCCAGACCTAGAATGGTTAAGCTTTGGCGCATTTAGGTGTTGTTTGTGAAACTGGTTTGTGTGAAACTTGAAAGAGCGTAATAACAAAAGCTGTTCATCACTCTGTCTCGTTCAAATTGAAAACAGTCTGTTTTCAAACGCCAAGCCTGAAAAAATGAAGTGTTTTGCCGTTTCTTGGTTGCCGGAAGTTTTTAAGCTCCTTTGATGATTTTAGATAAAATAGTCTAGATTCCAAGCATCTCAAGTTGTGCAACAGTGGGTGTAACAGCTGTTGTAAAATGTGGAATTGACTGGGATTAATCTACCAGTAAAGTTGCCCATAACTGGACTTAAGACTTTACTTACAGGAGCATATCCTGTCCACATATCTTTTTAATTGCCATTTTATTATTTTAACATTTTGGCAATCACATTTTAATCATTTTATATGTTAATTTACAAATGATAGTCTTACAGTACTTCCTGCCCAAAAATGGTAATTCCTGTTTTGTGAGAATACTACTGCATGGAAATCAAGTCAGGATTTTGCCTGCTTTTGTCTCTTCCTCATAAGGAACAGGAAAGATGATGCTGAGGATGAAGTGCGTGAATTCAACCTTATTCTTACACAGAAGACTACTGTTTTTATTTCTCATCCAAAGCAAAGAAAAATGTGTGGAAAATGTAGGGATTTAGGTAAGAAATGTATTACTAACACGTGCATTACTAACAAACTAAAGACTCTAGTGTTGTAAGGGAAAACAAAGTAGATAACTTCATTAAAAGATTATTTAACAAATGTACATACAAATATTTAGAAAAATGAACATGCTTCCTAGTTCTATGCAGTGTCACATAGTGATAAGCTGTAAAAACTCATAGTTGATCTCAAGCTTGGAAAATGGCTTTTTTTATGGCAAATTTGTCTTGTCAGAAGAGTCCATTTATAACAATCAATCAACAGTAAATCTGTTAAAACCTGTGAATAGGACTGGACGATGGAGCAAAAATATCATTTAGGTAATGAGACAATACACGATAAGTATAATGTATTCACCACTCAGTGTATTTTAGCACTCAGCTCTGAGATTCATCACTGGTGACCCATACAGAACTAATCACTGTACATTCTATGGAACAGCTGGTTGGTCCTCTCTAGCAGTGCAGCGGGAAACTCGTTGGTTTGTTTTTATCTATAGGACGCTGAATTTCTGAATTTCTTTCACCAGCCATATTCCATCTTATAGCAAATCTGTGCCCTCTGTAAATAATAGTGTTTATGGGACCCACCCTAATGACTGGATTACTTGTCAGTTTCCAAAAGTTTTTACTGTATTGAGAAAATCTGTTTTCAGTTACAGTGCACCAGCAAACTGGAGTACACAACAGGAAACTCTAAAGCGCTGCTTGTCACTCTATCATTTTAAGCTTTTAATCTCTAACCACCTCCACTTAGCCTGGAACTTGTTGGAACTTGTTAGCCTGGATGCTAGTTCCTTTCTGCTTTATTCTTTTCATAAAATAATACAAAGAGCGTCCAAGATTTTTGACTTTCAGCAGTAAATTGTGAGCATATAGCAATATGTGTATGATCATAAAACACATTTTCTGTTAATTTGAGTGGAGCTTTTACAAAGTAAAACATTTATTTCATGCAGTTACTGAATAATTTGCCTTATGATTTGGGCATGTAAATTCAGATGGAAAAACTGAAATATACCCACAAGCATAATTTGCAATTGTGAAAGTACCCCGAACTAAACATACTTCAGTATCTAAAGTCTAGTAAAGACAGTTGAACAGTTTCAGCTGTAAGGCCCTGTATGAAACATAAGCAAGGCAGATTTCTTTACATCATTAAGAGTGGCCTCAAGTCTACAATCAGGGATTTCAGAGATTAAA